ACTAAAGTCAAATAAAGTTTTTGGCGTCGTTGTCGAGGATTAACGGTTTTAATTGGAATCAAATTAGACATTAGTGCTCATTTGATTGCAAGTAGGATTAATTTCCTATTATTTTCTTACTTTTTGTTCTATATTCAATTAGGTACTTGACTACAAGAGATGCAAGCTTTGGATCACAACATTGTTGCTTGGGACCGTTGTGAGCGTTTCTTGAACTCTTGCACCATAATTATACATTGCTATATATGCTTGCGAGATAGCCTTTGTCGAGGCTGTCACATTGTTTATATTCTTGTCTAAACATAGGTCCTTATCGAGGCCATTACTTTATTGCTCAAGTATAGGCCTTTGTCGTGGTCATTACTTTATTGCATTTTGATATTGAGGAGAACGGGATCATCGTATGTGGATGGAGTTGTTGTGAATTGTTGTGAAGGTCTCTTCATACTCCTTTCGTCCCTCTAGACCAAGAACTTGAATCTTCCCTTCGACGGTTAAAAGGTAGTACTAGAATAAATCTTCCTATTCTTGACCACCCAATCAATTCAATGGAAGAATAAAACCCTCTTCTTGGTTTTGTTGAGCCTCAATTGGTGCCACCACTTCTAGGAATGCCACAACCCAATGTAGTACCACCACCTCTAGGAGCCCCACGGCCCAATGTAGTTCCACAACCTAATATGGTGCAACAAACCAATTTAGTGCAACTCCCTCCCGGAGTTCATTTAGCGTACCTATTTCCCAATCCTCAAATGATCCTTCGAGATCATTACATTCCAAATGTCTGCAATGCACCGACTTGTTATCGGTTACCAGACTTTAGGGCTCACGATTATGAAATAAAGCCGGGAACCATCCAAATGTGCCCCCTACTTAATGGGATGAGCCACAAAGAACCATACAAGCACTTGGATGAGTTCTTAGAAGTTTATTCAACATTGAAAATCACGGATGTTCTAGAGGAAGTTCTAAAAATGAAGCTCTTCCCTTTCTCTTTTTAAGATAAGGCGAAATATTGGTTTAACAACTTGGGGGCAAATACAATCACTTCTTGGGCTCAAATATAACAAGAGTTCCTTAAAAAGTATTACCCCACAAGTAAGACCAATGCAATGCGAACTTTCATTCATGAATTTTCCCAAGGTGATGGAGAGCCTTTGCATGAAGCATGGGAGCGTTTGAATTATTTGCATTTTATTATTTTCAGTATTTATTTTAATTATTTTCAGTAAAACGTAAAAAGATTATAATCGGAATTTTATTATTTATTTTATTATTTTCAGTATTTATTTTAATTATGTTGGAGGTGCTTACGTGGCTAGGTGTTGATGGGTTTAATTACAATAATTGATTATTGATTTGCATTTATTTATTTGTGATTTGAATTAAATGGATGTAATTGTTTTATATGAATTATTTGAATAAGTTAAATTGTGAATTTGTATTTGTTCTATTTAATTTCCACTATGGTAGGATTAGGTTAGGGTTTTAGTGTTATTATCACCTTCAATTATGCAGCCGACGTTAGTATAATATAGGTTGGTCTATGGGCCGGATAAATCATTTAGGGTTTAATAGAACCTAGAATTGGTGGTCTATAAATATACCAGTGATGTTCTTCCTAGGGTTAAGGGTTGTATTCACGATATAGAAAAGGCAGAAGTAATTTGGGAGAAGTCTGGGAAGTAACAGAGAGGGAAGAAACAGAGGGTTGGCCGGAGACTTTAGGACGACGTCGGTGTAAGGCAAGTTCTAATCCTAACTCTATCCCATTGATTCGTGTTCTTTGCATGTCTAACACAACTCCAGGGAACTGTTAAGGATTAAAATTAAACTGGATTTCTTGTACCTCTGTTGTTTTAAAACTGATTGTAGTTGTTATATGTGTACTGGTTGTTTTAATTGTCTTCCTTGTGTAACTTCTGTTTAATTCGTGTAATCTGATGAGTAAGGATTCTAATTAGTTCTATAACATGTTGGGAAACATTAGAATTAATTTAGGTTGCAAGTTTGATTTGCTGCAACAGTCGATGCTCAAGAATGCTTAAACTGCTCGTATTAAATTCTTGTTGCAAAATCCATGTATTAAATTGAGTTTGGTAATTGAACAACGAATTCAATAGATTTTGGAACATGTGGAAACTTAGTTTAAACATCTAAGAACCTTAGGATTGGAAGACAGTTCCTCAGAAGTTTACCGGACGTAGAGACGATGAACACACGGGAAGAGAAACGACTCAAAGTTTAAAGAGCAGGCTCTTAAAATCAAAGAGCCGGCTCTTAGGGGACTTGGAGCCGGCTCCAAGACTAGGAGAGCCGGCTCCTAGCAAAAGAGAGCAGGCTCTTCTTTTAGAAGGGCAGGCTCCTTCACGGTTTTTCCAGTTTTTGATGTTTCGGCGACCGTTTGGGCTACGAGGGTTGGATTTTGGAAATTTCAGATCCTGTTAGAAGGTATAATTGGGGTTTTCAGTATGTTCTAAGGCCATATTAAAGTTCTAAGGGTTGGTTAACTGGATTAAAACACTGGTGTTTATAGTAAAACAATGCATAAATTGTTTGAGGCAAATCTGGTTACCGTTTTTGGAAATGTAGAGGTTTAATTGCCTTTAATCTAATCTAACAGATTACTAAGGATGGTTACACCATTTTAAACATGGAATTGTGGTAGGAACAAGTATGCCTAAGCTTTAATTACTGCTAGCTATGGATTAACTGTTATATAAAACTTAACTCGTTTCAGTTTTGAGCATAAGGACATGTTAAGTCGATTGTTGTTTTGATGTCGTATTAAATTCCTACTGTTATAACAATCTGATGGGATGCTATTGGGTGTAAATTAGACTCCTATGATTAGTTTTAAAAACCAATAGGAATGATCCGTTGAAGGAGTAGAGAAGCTGAAACAGAGCAGAACGGAGAGAAGGCTCACAGGGGGAAGGAGAGCCGGCTCTGGAATGCCAAGAGCCGGCTCCCACCTGATTAGAGCCGGCTCCAAGGTTGTATAGAGCCGGCTCTAGGCTGTTTTGGAGCCTGCTCTACTTTGCCAAGAGCAGGCTCTTTCCAATTTGATGGAATTTGACACGTACTGTAATGTTTTTAGCTACTGTTTTGGCACTTGGGGTTCTTGAACAGATTTAGAATTTTAATGGGGTTTTCATTAATTAGTTTAACCTGTAATCAAGGTCTTTAATTTCATAAAATACCCTTTTTGTGTTAATGGAATTAATAGTGCGCTATTTAACAACTATGCGTACGATTAACGACTGGAAGACAATTAATTGTCTAGTTAAATTTGACAATTTAAGATGCTATAACATGATTCTAAATTAGGTTTTAGATGCACGGTGGAGTCTTTTAATTAACAAATTGGACTTGGGGCATAGGGTATGGCTCTGTGTTAAAGGATGAAACAGAATACGAGTATAACACTTAGTACGCTGTTACCGGATGGAAAGAACTAAATTGCTTAAATTAATTTAGCAATTGTTTGGATTATAACATGATTATAAAACTGGTTTAAATGCATGATAGAGTTGTTGATTTATTAAAACTGATCTAGGCATGCTCTGGATGCTGGTTGTTGAATTATTACACCGTTTCTTGCAAATACATGGTTTAGATCTTGGATTTAAATTGCTGAAATTTTAATTACTTTTCTGCAATGGTACGAATATTTGGTTTAGGACTGTAAATTACTTGCTTATTATTTATATATTGTAATTTACACGGATATGGAGGATTGTATGCACCGGTATGGGACGGTGACATACTAGGTATGATTTAGCTCAAAACGCTAATTCCTACCTTATGGATTTTAATTGCTGAATGGTTTTACCTGTTCTATCAATTATATGGATTTTGTGGATTGTATGCACCGGTATGGGACGGTGGCATACTAGGGACCGACTGATTCAAAATACTCAGTCCTACATATTTTGGAATAAGGGTGTGAATTATAAAAACATAATTCTCCTTATATTTAAGTCTGTGCGGTTGAATAAACTGAACGACTTATGGGATCTCTTGTATAAGTCTATGCAGCTGAATAAGCTGAACGATTTATTGGATTTCTTGTGGATGGATATGTATGGATTTTAAATATATTTTTATGGTACCACGAGATGAGCTTGAGTCTCAGGCTCGTTGGTTAGGGTGCGTATATGCAGTAGTATGCGTAGCTGGATATGAGAGGTTGAGGTATACCCTGTTAGGTCTAGGTACTCATGCCCACCTATGGGTGCGTTTTCGCATGTTGCCTTCTATTCAGGTTGAGGCCTTCTTCATAGTCCAGTGAGAGTCCTGTAGTGTGAATATACATATCTACGGACTATTTAGTTATTGTTGAGTTGGATAGAATGTATATGCGTATCGAGTCTCTGCTTGGATTGTAGTATGTTAGAACTTGTTCGTGGGTTTGACCCATCTTTATTTTTCAGGTACTTGTCAGTTCCAGACTTAGACTTGATCGTGCTGAGCAGAGACTACTACTCACTCTTCCGTTGACGTAGGACTTTCCTCCATGGTTTACTCTGGATGTTCTTTAAGTAGCTTCCATTACCAGTTTGGATTATTATTAGGGGTCCATTAGAGATGGATTCCCGAGTTGTATTAGAATTGGAGAAGTTGAGTGTATCAGACTAAATATTTATTTATAAAATTTTATTCTGAGGTTTCCAGTTTTGGTTTATCATTCTAGTTTCTTTTCAGCAATTTATTTATTCCTGCTTTCTTAATTATATTTTGTGTTCGTTTATTGCTAATTGATTTAATATCCTCGGGTAATTGGGCGTGGGCCTGGCCAACCCGCATCCGAAAATTCGGGGGTATCACAATTAACGGTTTTAATTGGAATCAAATTAGACATTAGTGCTCATTTGATTGCAAGTAGGATTAATTTCCTATTATTTTCTTACTTTTTGTTCTATATTCAATTAGGTACTTGACTACAAGAGATGCAAGCTTTGGATCACAACATTGTTGCTTGGGACCGTTGTGAGCGTTTCTTGAACTCTTGCACCATAATTATACATTGCTATATATGCTTGCGAGATAGCCTTTGTCGAGGCTGTCACATTGTTTATATTCTTGTCTAAACATAGGTCCTTATTGAGGCCATTACTTTATTGCTCAATTATAGGCCTTTGTCGTGGTCATTACTTTATTGCATTTTGATATTGAAGAGAACGGGATCATCGTATGTGGATGGAGTTGTTGTGAATTGTTGTGAAGGTCTCTTCATACTCCTTTCGTCCCTCTAGACCAAGAACTTGAATCTTCCCTTCGACGGTTAAAAGGTAGTACTAGAATAAATCTTCCTATTCTTGACCACCCAATCAATTCAATGGAAGAATAAAAACCTCTTCTTGGTTTTGTTGAGCCTCAATTGGTGCCACCACTTCTAGGAATGCCACAACCCAATGTAGTACCACCACCTCTAGGAGCCCCACGGCCCAATGTAGTTCCACAACCTAATATGGTGCAACAACCCAATTTAGTGCAACTCCCTCTCGGAGTTCATTTAGCGTACCTATTTCCCAATCCTCAAATGATCCTTCGAGATCATTACATTCCAAATGTCTGCAATGCACCGACTTGTTATCGGTTACCAGACTTTAGGGCTCACGATTATGAAATAAAGCCGGGAACCATCCAAATGTGCCCCCTACTTAATGGGATGAGCCACAAAGAACCATACAAGCACTTGGATGAGTTCTTAGAAGTTTATTCAACATTGAAAATCACGGATGTTCCAGAGGAAGTTCTAAAAATGAAGCTCTTCCCTTTCTCTTTTTAAGATAAGGCGAAATATTGGTTTAACAACTTGGGGGCAAATACAATCACTTCTTGGGCTCAAATATAACAAGAGTTCCTTAAAAAGTATTACCCCACAAGTAAGACCAATGCAATGCGAACTTTTATTCATGAATTTTCCCAAGGTGATGGAGAGCCTTTGCATGAAGCATGAGAGCGTTTGAATGATTTGCTACGAAAGTGTCCACATCATGACCTTTCTAAGTGGCAACTCGTTCAATGCTTCTTTGAAAGCTTATCCGACACTCACAAAAGTATCGTCGATGCTTCATGTGGAGGCACATACTTGCAAAAGCATGAAGACGACATTTGGACTCTTCTTGAAAATATGAGTGAAAATTCAATGCATTGATCTTCATCTTCTCGATTAGGTCGTAATTCAAATGTGGGAGGGAAGAAAAGCTCCAATCTATGTCCATGGAAATTACCGCTGAGGTCAAAACTCTTACTCAAAGGTTTCATCAATTTATTTTGAGTCAAAACCCAGCAAATCAATCATCCTCTTCTTCCCATCCTCAAAATGAGATGTGCATGACTTGTTCTAGCTATATTAACAATATTTCCAATTGTCCTCTTGGACAAGTTTTACCAAGTGAGTCATAAGAGCAAGTCAATGCCGCTTTCACTTGTCCGAGGAGCAATCCTTATTCAAATACATAGAATCAGGGATGGAGAGATCATCTAAACTTTTCTTAGAGAAATCAAGGAACGGGTGCAAACCCTCGTCATCTTCAAAGTTCCCAAGGAAAGTATGTTCCTCCTCATCTCCAAAATTCAAATTCTCAAGCATATCATCCTCTATCTTATCATCCTCACAATGTGAATCACTCTTCTAACCATCAAGCTTCGAATTCTCAATCTTACTATCATCCACCTCAAGCACCTCCTAGGAATTCTGCCATTGAGGACAAGGTTCTGGCAGCCTTGGGTAATCTAGAAGCAAACACTTAATTGCTACACTCTCATTCCCAATCCATTGCAAAGCTTTGAATCCCAAATTGGGCAAATTGCTAATTTAATGAATGCAAGGGAGAAGGAAAAGTTGCCTAGTCTACCTGAGCCCAATCCTAAGGCATACTACATGGTGGAATCAAATCCTACATCAGGATTTTTCGGGCATGAGCAAGTATAAGCCATCACCACTTTGAGAAGTGGTGAGAAAGTTAATAACAAGGTAGAGAGGCCTAGTGAAGTTACTGACCCGATGCAACCAAATGGTTATCCGCTTCCTAGTCCAAATTCTATTCCTACTTCACCAGAAGCAAGTGGTCACATTAAGGACCTTCCATCATCATAATCATCTTCCTTCCATGCAGAGAAACCTTATGAGCCAAAAACTCCATTTCCTCAAGCTTTGAGAGACTATTCTCCATTTGCAAGACAAGAAGGAAAGATCCATGATATGATGAAAGTTTTCAAGCAAGTAAAATCCTACCTCTTTCTTCTTGATGCCATTCGTCAAATTCCACCGTATGCCAAGTTCTCAAAAGACTTGTACACAAAAGAGGAAGAGTAAATGTCAAGCCCCTAAGAAAGTGCTTCTTACGAAGCAAGTGAGTTCAATCATTAAGTATAACACCCCACCTAAGTTCAAAGACCCCGGTGCTCCAACCCTCTCTTGCATCATTGGGAACCATGAGGTTCATCGGGCTCTTTTAGACTTAGGGTTGAGTGTTAATCTCATTCTTTACTCCGTGTATTGTCAATTAGGTTTGGGTGACCTAAAGCCAACTTCGGTAGTCCTCCAACTAGTTGATAGATCCACAAAACAACTGAGGGGAATTGTTGAGGACATCCTCATCAAAGTCAACAAATTCTATTTCTCGGTTGATTTTGTAGTGCTTGATACCGAGCTGCTTCCCAACCCTACCAATCATATTCCCATCATCCTCGGAAGACCATTTCTTGTCACCGCCAATGCTATAATTAATTATATATCGGGCATCATGGACATATCATTTGGCAACATGATGGTCAAGCTCAATGTTTTCAACGCAAGCCAACATCCCATTGTTGAATGCGAGAGTTTTTTAGTGAATGTTTTAGATGAACTTGTGGAAGAGTCCCTTCCTTCTATTCTATCAAAGGACCCTCTCGAGGTGTGCCTCACTCACTTCAATATGGATGCATTCTACATCGAAGGCTCCATATGTGAAGTGAATGGTTTAATGGACACCGTGGCCACATTGGACTACCCGCCTTGGAAAACTTCAGAAGAACATTTTCCTCCACTCTCAAGTACTTCACCAGTTCCATCATTCATTTCTCTACCTACTCTCGAGCTTAAGCCATTCCCATTTGATCTCAAGTATGCCTTTTTAGGCCTGAAGGAAACTCTCTTGTCATCATTGCTTCAAATCTTGAAGATGACCAAGAGAAGGATCTTTTGGAAGTGCTAAAAGAGAACAAAGAAGCCATTGGAAGGAGTGTTGCCGACTTGAAGGGCATTGATCCTTCCGTGTGTATGCATCGCATTCATATGGAAGAAGATGAAAAGCCTTTTAGGGCCACTCAAAAGAGGTTGAAGCTTAACATGAAAGAGGTGGTCAAAAAGGAAGTGGTCAAACTATTGGATGCCGGGATCAAATATTTTATCTCCGATAGTAAATGGGTTAGTCCAACACAAGTAGTTCCCAAAAATTCGTGAATTACGGTCGTTGAGAGTACCAAGGGTGGGCCAATTTCTAAACGCACCACCACTTCATGGCGTGTGTGCATTGATTACCGTAAGCTCAACTCCGCCACTAAAAAGGACCATTTTCCTTTCCCCTTCATTGATCAAATCTTAAGAAGATTGGCTGGGCAAAGTTACTACTGTTTCCTAGATGGTTACTCAGGTTAAAATCAAGTAGCCCTAGACCCGCTCGATCAAGAGAAAACTACATTCACTTGTCCTTTCGATACATTTGCTGACTAACGGATGCCGTTTGGTTTGTGCAATTCCCTTGCCACATGTCAAAGGTGTATGATGTCGATTTTTTCGGAAAAATATCTAGAAGTCTTCATGGATGACTTCTCGGTCTTTGGGTTTACGTTTGATTCATGCCTCAAAAACCTGTAATACCCCTAATTTTAAAAGGATAGTCTCGAGATTTATTTATTTATTTTATTACATTTTATTTAATTATGTGGCTATTTGTTTATGTGCTTTTAATTAAATTATTTGTTTAAATTAAGTGTGTGCTTAAATGGTATATTTTAATTATATTGTTTTGTGTGATCTTATTTGCTTAAAAGATGCGTAGTTATTTGTATTTTAATTTTTAGGATTAAATGTTTATTTATTTTATTTTTTAAAAAGTTGGATTTGGATAGTAGCAATGGACCAACCAATTGGGTCACATGGACTACTTGGATAGGAGTCTTGATGGGTACGGATATTTACCCATGGATAGTTGTGTGTGTGTGTGTTTGTGTGTGTGTGTATATATATATATATGTATGGATATATATATATATTTGGATAGTTATTATTATTATTATTATTTGTTTATAGTAATAGTAATAATATTAGGATGGTTAGTATTATATATACAGTTATATGTATTATATTATATATATATATATATATATATGTATATTTTTCTATTTTTCCTTTTATTTTATTTTTCCTTAAGGTAACAAAGTTGGGAAGGGATTAGGATTATATATATATATATATATATATATATATATATATAGTAGGTCTGTGAAAAGGGTTACAAAACCTTTATCACGCAGACAAAGAGAGTGGCAGAGAAGAGAGAATGCAAAGAGAGAAAATAGAGGGTTTTTGGCCAAGGAGAAGGCCGAACCAAGGAAGGAAGGAGTAGGGTTGTTCGTGGGTTAGAACCAAGCAGTAGAGAGCTTCGAAAGCAACCCAAGAGTCGCCGGAAAAGCAAGGAAGAAGAAGGTCAAGGTTTTCAATTTGAAACCTTAAGGCAAGTTCTTCTTCTTTCTATTTCCCTTAGATCACGTGTTCTATGCATGCCCAGGACGATTCTAGGATCATCAAACAATAAAACGACCATATATGCATGCTTAAAAGGATTAATTACAATGTTCTATTATATGTGTATATGATTGTTTGATTTTGATCTATGATGCATGAAAACCTGTTTTAATTGGTTTAATTTATGCTTAAAGGATTAAAATAAATATTTAGGATCGTTTGAGACTTAGTACAGATAATTAGGACCCTTAACGGAGGAGATCGGAGCAGACAGAGGTCGCTAGAGACGAAGAAGACGATCTACAGCAGGAAAGAGCCGACTCAGTCCCAACTGAGTCGACTCAGTTGTTAATCGAGCCGACTCGGTTGAGAACGAGTCAACTGGATTGATGAACCAAGCTGACTTGGTTGAGAATGAGCCGATTCGGTTGGCAATTGAGCTGACTCCTTCTGTGAAAGAGTCAACTCGGTTGGGCTGCGACGTGGGAGTTATGTTTTATTGCCTAGAATTGTTTTAAATCTGTTTTAATTAATTTAAATGGGTTTAATGGACTTGGGAATGTCCCATAATGCATAATATACCTTTATATGCAATAGGATTGGACAGTAGAGGATTTTTAATAAACTTTTACGTGGTTTATTGGATGCTTTGATTTACTTAATTGTTTTAACAAGTTAAATAAAGTGTTTAAATGATTTTAATCATGCTTAGGATGATTAGTATAATTTAACTGAGATGAGGTTAATTACTTGGGATGTAAGTTAACCGCATGCTATTTAAATTGTCATTATTGCTTAAAGTTATTTAAGAAATGTCTGTATGATTTATACCATGCTATTTTTGGATTATTTGATGTATGAATATATATGTTGCATCAATTGTTGGATTGTGGATGTAATACACCATCGCCAGGATTTGGGGACATATAAAGGATGGATTAACTAATAAGTTAAGTTCTACCTATTCATGTCAGGCCACGGAACTAGTTGGATGACATGTCATTGAAAGAATACGGCGGATAGTTTATTTTTATGTTTTGGATAGGATGGATTTATATATCTATAGATATGTGCCATGATATGAGCTTGAGTCTTAGGATCAGTGGTTAGGGAGCGTATATTGACAAGGATGCATAGCTGGATATAATGGATAGTTGTATGCACTGGTAGGTCTAGGTACTCATGCCCACTACTTGTATGTTTTGCATGTTGCCTACTATATAGGTTAAGGCCACCTTATAGTCCAGTGAGAGTCCTTTAGTGTGTACCTATATATATATATATATATATATATATATATATATATATATATGGACTATATAGTTATTATGGAGTTGACTAGGATGTATACATGTATCAGGTCTCTGTTTGGACTGTAGTAAAGTAGAACTTGTTCGTAGGCCTGAGCCACTATTATTTTTCAGGTGTTCGTCAGTTCCAGACTTAGAGATTGTTCGTGCTGAGCAGAGACGGTCTTCATCACTCTTCTATGTAGGATTTCCTTTATTTTTTGTCTTTGGATTTCTTTACTTCAGTTATTGTATTGGGATTTTATTAGGGGTCCACAAGATAGATTCTCGAATTGTAATCTAGAGAGTTACTGGTATCAGAGGATTTAGATTATTATTGGATGATTAATTCTATTGGATTATTTATTGGAGGATTTTATTATTTAGTTTCTTTTTAGCTTATTTGTTTATTCTTATTTATCTTTTGTATTATATAATTGTTTATTACCTTAATTGTTTGATACTTTTCCTCGGTGTCATGTGCAGACTTGATTAACCCATTTTCCGAAATCGAGGGGTATCACAAAATCTCTCTTTAGTGCTTGAAAGGTGTCGAAAGACAAACCTAGTGCTTAGTTGGGAAAAGAGCCATTTTATGGTTCAAAAGGGGATTGTGCTTGGACATGTCATATCCAAGAAAGGTGTTGAAGTAGATAAGTAAGTTGAGCTTATTTCTGAATTACCTCCACCTTCTACGGTGAGAGAAATCTGCTCATTTCTAGGTCATGCCGGTTTCTATCGCCGTTTTATCAAGGACTTTAGCAAGATAGCTAGACCCTTGTGCAATCTACTTGTGGGTATCTACCCACTAAGGAGGCCACTACCAACAAGGGGGTTTTTACCTACCAGTGAAGCCTCTACCACCAAGGAGGTTCCTAAGTCCAGGGCGATCATTGCGCTAACGAGGTACTCAACTAGTGGTCACCAAGCCATCATCTGTCGTACGTACGTTGGGCACCATGCCCCCATCCACCAAGTATCAAGCCGATCGCTGGACACCGAGCTTTTACCTACTAGACTCCTGGTTGCCACCTCTTTTCCCTTACAGGAAATGCCCATCGACTTCGAATTGTGTAGAATTTTTGATCCATAATCCATTGCAGATTTTCAGTAATCATCCTGAATACAATCCAACATCTTAGACAATTGTAAATTGTTGCAGCACTAAGATACCCAGTTTACCGTCATTAAATGTCTATAGAATGGGTCCTCACCCAACACCCCACATTCATTATACTGGGGGCAGAGTAGTGAATCACATGATATCAATCGTCGATTTACATATGATGACAAGGTTTAGAAGACTGACGCATCAACCTCGGTACATCAAGCCAGCCGAGTTCCTGGTCTCTCTCCCCCAGCTTGTACCTGACCTCTTGGGGTACTTGGTTTTCCGAGACCAGGCAATAGCTTTCCAAAACCAATGCCCGATCATCCAAAACCATAGCCTGGTAGGTCTATAAACACTAGGAGGACTTTAAGTCCAATGAAGTTTCTATAATTAATGAGTTCACCACATCCAAGGTGGTCCTATGCCCAATGAGGTTTTAACCATCGAACACTAAGGATTGTCTTTTCTACCAGGAACCAAGCTCGGTTTCTTGCACATTAAGTCTGGTGGGTTTCTGCCACCATGACCACAATGCAGGGCGAGCATAAAGGATAAGCTCACGAAACTCAAAAATTTTGCTCCCTTATTAAAGGGCAAGCCCATTAAGCTAAAAAAAAAAAAAAAAAAGGCATATTCCCTTATTACAGGGCAAACTTATAAATCTTGGGTAAAACTTCCCCTTATTAAAGAAGCGGGCTGGGTGAAACTCGTAAAATCTACCCCTTTATTAAAAGGGTGAGCTGAGTGAAACTCGAAAAAATTAAACCCTTTATTAAAAGGGCGGGTTGGGTGAAGCTCAAAATTGTTACTCCCATTATAAAAGGGGCGAGTTGAGTGAAACTCGTAAAACTTATTCCTTTATTAAAGGGACGAGTTGAGTGAAGCTCGTAAAACATATACATATATATAGTATGTTGATTCCCAAAGGAAACCAACTATCACCGTCTATTCGGTGTTGTTGAGTGTGAGATTTGAACCCACGTCTTTTAAACGGTTGTTCGCTACGGGAATACTAGCCGAGGGAGAACTATTCACCTTAGGAAGCATACCCCGAGGTAAAGCTGAGGTAAAACTATAACCTCGGGAACATTACCTTGAGGTAAAAAAAAATAAAAAAAATTTATTGTTCATCTCGAGAATAGTACCTGAGGTAGAATTGATCACCACAGACGTATTATTTCCAAAGAGAATAAAGCGATCATGTGGTGGTATTTGTATGTCGCCTTGGGGAATTTGTAACCCAGGCAAAAAAAAAAAAAAAAAAAAATTGGATTCCAAAGAGAATAAAGTGATCATGTGGTGGTATTTGTATGTTGCCTTAGGGAATTTGTAACCCAAGCAAAAAAAAAAAAAAAAAAAAAAGCAGATTCTAAAGAGAATCAAGCAATCACGTGGCGTTGGGATTTAAATTCACGCCCCTTTCATGTGAAAACTTTTGAATACCTTGGGAATAGTAACCTAAGGTAAAAAGTAAAAAATAAAAATCACATATTTTCACCTCAGGAATAAAAAAATTAAGGTAAAAAAAAAAAAAGAAAAAAAGAAAAAAAAGAAGAAGAATCGACCTAGTATTGACCTTGGGATATGTAACGAAAATTATAATGGTTGGAGATGCTCTGATGTGTCATAATAGATTAACACAAAAAATTTAAATTATTTATTTTTAGCTTTAGTGGTTGTTTTATACCTTTTTTGTAAAAATATATCCCTCAATAACAACCAACTAGTGTCATACCTGAATCCCACATAATTTTTACAAACCTACTTAATATATGGTTGATTCGTTAATGAAATGAGAAAGATGGAGGAAAAATGAAATATGTTGATGTGGCTGTGTAAAAATGTTATGTAAAATATACAATACTTTTACACATTGGTGACGTGGCAGTATATCTTGATAGACTGCTGGAAATAAAAAAAAAAAATTACACATCATACGTAGTAGTGTATATTTTACACAAAAGAATATTTTAAGAGACCGGAGATGCTCTTAGGGTTTGGATTCTATAATCATAAGTTTTGCTATTTTTTCTCTCTTTCCTGTATTAAGATTTTTTCTATATTAAAAAAAATTACTTTTAAAATATACAAAACAGCCAAATAAATTGACAACTAAGTAACCACCTAATTCAAAATAAAATCTAAAACTAAAATTCAGTACTGATTTTTCATAAATTAATGACCTTAAATCAGTACTAAGATCTCGTGAGATGATTTTTAGTGAACTTAATTACTTCTATTGTGTTGGATATAATAATTAATATTAAATCTTAAAATATTATAATTAATATTACATGTAAGTGAAATTATACTCCATCATCATCTCTCTTTCTCTTCTCCTTTTTTGGTCTCGCAAATTTTAAAATATTTTATGACAACTAAAAATACATCCTTGAAATTAAATCTTAAAAACAGCTTTTGCCAATCAAATTATACACACATATCACACGTCCTCAGTAAGATAGGGTGCATGGTTTGACGTATCCAATAGCTATTTTAAATTTTCGCGCTACCAATACCCTAAGGCTTCGTTTGGATACGGAGGAGAGAAAAGAAAAGAAAGGATTAGAAGAGAAAAGAAAAGAAAGGAAATGATAGTTATAATGTTTGGATAGATAGGAGAGAAAAGAAAGGAAAACATAATATGCTTGTTTGGATAAAACAGAGTAGAGAAAAGAAAGGAAAGAATAATAATGAAATTACTGTATTACCCTTTTATATATTTTGATAAATAATCATTCATAACTTGATAGCATACTGATTTTTTTTTCTCTCCCTCAGTTTCATTGGAAACTAAAATTAATAATAACTAGAAAAACAAGATAACTTGATAGCATACTGTTGTTGTTGTTTTTTTTTTTTTTTTGATAAGTAACTTGATAATATATGTATAACTTGATAGCATACTTTGAAGATACATAGATAGATATGTATGTAAGATTTTTATACCACATTTTCTCATCTCTTCATAAACTTTAGGGTTTTTTTTTTTTTTTTTTTTGGATAATAAAAATAATACTAAATAATTAATACCAACTAAAAGTTAGTACATTCTTTATTAATAGACAATTTTACTATAAATCAATGTCTACACGTAAGACATGCAATACATTGTTCAATTATGTATCACATACTTCTTAACTTGGATAAAAGAGCGCTACATATATATGGTTCTTCTATACCTGTAACACCACAAATATGTAGCCACACCCCTAATTCCCTGTGTTTAGATCAATATTTGCTTGTCCCTTACATAGGTAAACAAATTTTTTTAAAACAAGGAGTAATATATATAAAAGTAAAAAATCACTTCTCAAACACTTCTCAATTGAAGACAGAATAGCCTAAATTCACAAAAAGTAAAATTATAACAAAATGACTTCACAAATCACTTCTCAATTGAACAAAATATAGCCTCAATTCACATCCAAGCTACATTCACACGCCTAGTATAACATAGTACACTGACTTTAATCCATTATAGTTTTTTGTTTCTACATTCACACGCCTACTCAGGAATTCATCAAGACCTTAAAAAAAAACATATGCCATCTTCAACACACCATACGAAGTTCCATAGAGTTTACATATCAAAAGCTCCATAACAAAAAAATAAAATAAAATAAAATAAAATAGATACAAAAAAATACATAACTAAACTTAGACATAATTCGAAGTTCTACTAATTGTTTTAAAATATTACCAACTTAAAAGACATTATCAAAAGTTAGTATAACCGAAACCATTATCAACGCCAAGAATCATTGGACATCAGTTCCTCCAGGAGTATCTTGCGAAGCACAGGTGGGCAACCAATAAATTGTGTCATTCTCTCAGGATGGTCACGCTTAGTCAGAAAAATAAAGGCCTTAACAGCCGCATGCCCCTCTAATCCAATTTCCGCCAAAATCTTAAAGAGTTCTTCTTCGTATTTTTCCTTTTGGTTCCATCAAAATCACTTGATATGTTTGCATAGCATATATATATACATATAGATATATGGAGAGAGAGAGAGAGAGAGAGAGGGAGGGAGTACATATGAGCTCTGCAATCAAAACTGACAAAAATAATGAAACGAAGAAGGATTTGAAGATAATTTGGGTTAGGTTAATACCTTGATGAGAGAAAGCAGGTGAGTTTTTGTTGAAGACGCAAGAGAAGAGATTAATACCTAGGTGAGTTTTTGTTGGAGACGCAAGAGAAGAGATTAATACCTTGATGAGAGAAAGTAGGTGAGTTTTTGTTGGAGACGAAAGAGAAGAGGAACAACGCTTTTGCAGAAGCAAGAGAAGAGGACTTGAGAAGCTGCTGCCCTAAATTGTATATAGAAATTGGAAGGTTAATTCTGTCTTTGTCATCCTTTCCCCTCAAATCTTCTCAACTTTGAGAGAGTTTGTTTTTATTGTACTGAAAGGATTGGGAGGGATAACAAATCATTTCTTTTCTTCTCAATTCCCTCCACCCAAACACACTAAACTCTATCCTTTCCGCTCTTTTCTCTCCAAATCTCTCCAATTCCCTCAATCCAAAAAAAGCCAGTCAAGCCCTAATTCCAACCAAACGTCTACTATGTCCGCAATTCACGCTCATTTCTCTCACCACCGCCGACCTACGATCGTCGTCACCTGCGGTTGCTCCCATCATCATTCCACAATCGGTTTCAGTTGCTGCCAATACCGTACTCCAACCATGTAAATTGCTGTAAGAACCTAATCTTTTCTATTTCTCAAGTTCTTCCCTCTTTCTCGCGGACAAGGGGTTTTCATCTCAGTATTACAGTTCACAGAAATTCAAAATTGCAATCATTAACCTAATCTTTGAATTTTTTTCTGTGTGACATAAACTAGCACAAAGCATATAAGCAAACCACTGAAAGCATGATTTTGGTCCTATTTTTGATAGAGAGTGGAAGTTTAGGTTGTCTCCTTTTTTTTGGGCTTGACCTACTAATAAAATTCTTCTCTCCCTTTTTATTTTATTTTTCCTCTTTAATATATAACATCACTCAAAATATCACAACTAGTAGTTTTTACTTGCAACTCTGTTACCTATTGTAGGAAAGGCCATAGTCAAATAGACTTTAGACTGCATAAATACTCTACATAGTTTAGCTCTAATTGAATTCTGAGTGCAGATTTTAGGATATGGTTGTGGTAAATTGCTGGAGACAACTTTTTTTTTTTCGTACACTGCTGGTATAATATAAAGCATTGCTATATAGTGGGGCCATTGTTTGTTTGAATGGAGTCCTTATACCCTTTCTCAGCGTTAAATTTTTTTGGCAAATTTTAAAGGTGAACAGGTTCTCTGAGTAATGGATGAAAATGGGTTCCAAATTTGCTTCTGGTTTTTGTTCCTCACGTTTTTGAATTAAGTTCTTCTATTAGTTCCTTTTTTTTTTTTTTTTTTTTTTTTTTTTTTTTTTTTTTTTTTTGCTTGTTTGCTCATATACATGCCTTATTCTTTTTTTGCCTTTTTGTTTTTCATGTTTTATTTTATTTTTTTATTTATTTTTATTTTAGCAAAACACATATGGTATAATTATGGAAGTGAAAATATAGGACTATATAACAAAAAACAGAATTACAAGCATGTTTTCCTCTCTTTTTGTGGACTAACTATACTTCGAATATGTTCATTTTTTTTTTGGCTAGCTTTGCCAAGACCGCAAGTATGTTATACACTACATTTAGCTTTAAGAAGCTAAGGGAGGAATAGTTGCATGGCCTGCCAAGTTTGTTAGAAGAACTTAGTCGTACTTGTTTTCAGAGGTAATTGTTTAATATTATATTTGTGAATTTATATGTTTATGAATGATATAAATATAATTTTTACGTGTTTATGCATGTCTTATTTGGAAGCTGCAATTTTCAATGCTGTTAGATTTAGACTACTTAGGCTGGATAGAGTTTAAACTTGCCCCTTCTAATATTTGGTTCAAGCTTGTATGGAGTATCCATGATTATGATCTTGGCTGAAATTCTGATGTTTTGAAATTGATGCTTTATGTTTGTTTGCATTTAGAAAATATGCCTGCTGGTGGAAGAATAGTGTTGTCCTTTTTTTTTGTTTCTGTTGGAATATTGTTTCCTGCTGGTTGTTATTTTCTATAGCCCAGTTTGTCTTTGTCCTTTAAATAGCCCAGTTGCAATCATAGTTTCTGCTGCTTGGTTTTACATTGTTGCCCTCTTAGTTTTTGTTGCCTGCCTCGCTTTGCTCGCCTTCCATTTTCTCTCTCTCCTTCTTCCTTCCCCCTTTTTCACACCTTAGCCTTTTTGCTCTCCTTGATCCTTTAGATGATCATACCTAATAAATTGTATATGGCACTTCTTGTGAATAAGAGATAGGTGGAGGAAAATAATGTGTACATTCAAATTGTACAACATATAGTTGACCCAAATTCTTAAATGGTAGGAGAAATATTTCTAAATGGATGATTAAGCTCAGTCTAGGACTGACTTTAATGGATGATTATGCTCAATATAGGGTCAACATTGTTGACAATGGACTCGCATTTATAAAGGATAGAATATAATGAGAAATTTTATGCTTGATTGGCTACAATGCTTATTTTCCCATTCTTTCAACCCAAAACCTAATATTCTAGTGTACTCTAATTGCAATCCTTTAGAGCGTGAATGTACATGCATAGTAAATAGTGTGTGATGTGAAAAATATCCTCAACGTTACAAGATGTGGAATACCCCTTGTCTCTAGTTGAACACTTCTCTATGCATGTACATTAGCTTAAAGAAGACGAAAAACCTTGTGGCTCCAATTTCAAAAGAATGCTAAAAGATCTTCTTTTTGGTTTTTAGTTTGTCTTCTTTAATGCATATTCTTATCATAAGGCACAAGCGAAAAGACATGAATTTTATTTAAATATTGATGTCTTTTCATTTGATTTTGTTATGCTGTATGCATGCTGCACAAATTCCGTCTCCCCTCATTCCCTTGCCTTTTTTTTCTTTTTTTTTTTGTTTTCATAATTAATTCCCTTGCCTTTATTGTAGTATTGTTTTGTTGAGTGCTTTTATATCAGTTGGTTTGCAATAACTCTTTGACATTTAATTTAGTGGGAATAGGAGTAGAAATTCTGTAAAGTAATTAAAGAAAGATTTGACCACTAAAAATAAACATAAAGCATCACTATCTTATTGCAAACGAACAACCAGCTAAATATAATTGGGCTATATAAAATAACATCTTCCATCTGGTTACACATCTGGTTTAGGTGATATTTACTTTTTTTAATGCTTTAATGTAATTTCTTATACTTAATTTTTTCATGTTATTTTATCCATTTATATCACGTTTGTTAGTATATCTTACTGTTAAAACATATTTTTTGTCTTAGAGCTTACAAGTAGTCCAAAAGTCATCAGCATACAATTGCCAAACAAGCTCATTTAAAGACTAACCATTTCCTAAGTTATAAAAGTTTATTTTCAAGCCAGTGACTAAACTACCTAATCTTTGAAAAATACCGGCTCTCTGCTGTGTTCATTAGTTTAAGCCACTGCATCAATGCATTTTATCCACTTCAATAAAACTTTGTTCGTCCTTTTGTGATTGTTTTCCCGTAAATATGTGATATTAATTGTTTTCTGTCTCCCTCTGTATTAAGGCCAGCAAAAATGGAGTTGAAAGAAGATAAACCATAGAATTAGAGTCCCACTGAGGCTTTATATGTCTTATACGAATATCTGCAAAGAATTTTATATTTAATTCTATTAAAACATCTTTACAAGTCTGTTTGCATAGAAGCTTCTGAATCTTTTATTTTCAACAATACTCTTTAATATGTTTAATTGTTTAGTATTCAAGGCAGTTATAAGAATTTTTTTTATTAATTTTTTTTTTAATTTTTTTTAAATTTAATTATTATTATTTTTTTATATATAAAAAAAAACCATGTATACTACTATGAACATCAGGGCAAGCTTTTGACATTTGTTCTTTTGTTTTTTCGGTTGAACTATCAAATATTTCACTTTCTCAATTTTCCATCTTTAACTTAATCCTTGATCTACAGTGCTGTTATTATGGATCTCTCCCTTAAGCATCATCATTTACTCATACTTATGTTATAGGTGCTTTATGTTCAGATTTTAGGATTGTCTTATACTTCTCACCGTCTCAGTACAGATTATGATTCATATTGTTCTTACCAGAGCAAATATATCAGATAACCTAACAGTGTAAGATCACTCATAAACATATTTAGTTTTGCAATGAAACTGAAAATAACTCACGCGGACATACATGCTGTTACCAAACTGTTTGCAGTTATAGTTTTAGTAAATCTGGACTTAATTGACTATGTTATTTGCGTCGGTAACTGTTTATCGTGCTTGTTTTATTTTGTATTTTCCAGCTGAGAGCTTAGAGGAAACTTGCAGTTGTATGATTGTCTCGATGTATCGACAGAAAGGTTTCAGCCTCAACTTACTTTCTAGCATTTGTCAAATATAATGTGATTCTCTTCTGGTCTGTACAAAAAATGTTTACTTTAGTGTTTCATCATTGAACATTCTCATTATATATTATGAATTTTCAGTAAGTAAAGTTAAGAATTATGAATCCTGTAGCAATGTTTTTCATTTTAGTTTATTGATTTGTGCTGTTCTTTAAAACTCTCATTGTTAAGTCCTCTCGATTTCAACTTCAGCAATTTACAGCCTGTTTCTTTCTGAGAACCAAAATTTGAATTGGAAATTGGGTTTACCTGAGCTGCTGGATAAACTTCAGGGACGGCGACCGTGGCCGGAAAAGATGAAGATGCACCTACATCAAGCATGGGTTTTGTATCAATGGGGGATAAATAGAGGGTGAGTCCACCGTGTACTGCAGTTTTGCTTCGGCTTCGGCAAAGAGATTTTTGTGACAGTAGGAGAGGTCTTCAACTAGCTCTTGGCTAACTCGGAGCGTAGGTCAGAAATTGTTTTCCTCAGTTCTTTCCTTATCTCCTCTGCTCTTCCCAAATTTTCTTGAGCCCATTCAAGTTTTTCAGTTAGAGCATCTCCAATGCAAAATGCTATATTTCCATGTCAAATCTATATTTTAAGAGGAGCTACAATGTTAAAATGTTACATTTTTGCAATTCTGCTCCAATGGTGCATTTTATCCACAATGCTATTTTTTGACACAAAAACCATTTCATGTTTTGAGAGCCCATTGGAGTGCCTTATTTTCATTCTAGCAACTTTTGATAATCTCAAAATATGAGAGGTCTTTTGAGAGAGCCCATTGGTGTGCCTATTTTCATCCACTTGCTATATTTTGAGTTTGAGAGGTCATTTGAAAGCTTCTATATTTGAGAATACATTTGAGAATCTCAAAATATGAGAGGTCTTTTGAGAGCCCGTTGGAGTGCCTTATTTTTATCCACTTGTTATATTTTGAGTTTGAGAACCCATTCGAGAGGCCATTGAAGATGCTCTTAGTCGTCAATTTGATGCTCAGGGGAGTCATAAATAGTAGAGTTGAATTTCCTTGGTAACTCATGGTGTGGGATAGGTGAGTCGACAGACTTTATGACCTTCTTGGTGTTGCTGGGTTGAGATGGTCTATAATGTTGTTGCTTGTGGCCTGGTTTGGATGATGCTGGTTGGTTAATTGAGGGTTTTGGTTTAGCAGGGAGAGGTGGTAGAGATGGTTTGTTTAGTGATAGAGGAGGTGGTGTAGGAAGAGATTGACCAGAATCGAGAGGGAAAAATGGTGGTTTCAGGTGGTTAGGGGAGGGAAGGAAAGGAGGTTTCCGGTGGTTGGGAGGTTTCATGGTTACTCCTGGAGTTTTTGTTTCATTCAAATACAAATAACATTCCCTTTGTCAACCTCCTTATTAGAAAAAGAGATAATACATCATATAAACTAATGTCCACCTTTTTATGAACCAATATATATATATATATATATATATATATATATATATATATATATATATATATATTCTTAACATTCTTATATGAAAATAGAGTTCATGAAGCACGATTTTAAAGAATATTAAAACTAGCATTCTTTTCTTCTGTTGTCTATAAATTGAAAATTGCTCTTAGAAAATTTAATCAACAATTCACTTTTGTTTAAGTTCCTTTATACATTGTTTTCATCTGTGGCTTCTACTTGCCTATTGTTACAAGGGGAGTGGATGGGAAGTGACATGGGTATAAATGAGTGGATATGTAGCACTACCCAACAGTTCGAGCCTTTGGTTAAATGGGCAAGCGCCCATCCATTACAGTTGGTATCAGAGCCAGACCTAGTCCTTGATTCGGTGTCACACCAAGCGTCAGGCCCGGAAGGCGTTCAGGTGAGCCACCCCGGGTAAGCAGGGTGGCCTAACCGCAACGAGGACGTTGCGAGTTTGGGTGGGGGAGAATGTTACAAGAGGAGTCTTGTCCTACATCGGATCTGGATGGGAAGTGACATAGGTATAAATGAGTGGGTATGCAGCATTACCCAACAGTTCGAGCTTTTGGGTAAATGGGCAAGCGCCCACCCGCTACACCTATCCGAATGAAAAGTATATTGATGCATGCCTTCTTTAAGTAGAAACAAACCTTAAAAATGAATTGTTTCTACTTTAAGGAGTTGGCAATTTAATAGGGAAAATAACAAACAATTATTCTTCATGCTATCTGAACTTTCACCTGAAAGATGAGTAAATGCAATTCAACCCAACAAAGCCTTATCCAAAATAATATTTAGATCAATTTTGTCAATATAAGTTGACACAAAAAAGAATTATGGAAAGAAAATTAAAACAACGAAAAATAACTATCTGTCAGGGTTGCTCAGATGGAAGGGTCTCAGGATTAATCCTACCTTGAAGTCAAGTCCAACTCTTGATTTAAGCAAAATAAGGACCTTCATCATTACCACAACCATTAGGACTTCTAATTGTCACTACAAATAAATTCCCCCAAGCATAAAGAACGATGTCTCAACAAATTACAGAAATAACAAAAGTTTTAGTGCTAAAAGTTTCAAATGCTTAACACAAATCACCACTACAACAACAAAATTCATTACATATATCGAGGCATCGAATAATAGAGGAAATAGGGGACTTGATGAATGTAAGAAACAACCAACAAAAGCATCAATTCAAAGAGCTCTTCATAGGAAGTGTAGTATCAAAGTCATCACTCTAGTGGTGATCAATGTTGCTAGGCTCATTTTCATTAATTGCTTCAATCAGTTCTAGATTCTCCACAACTTCTTTCATTGATGGCCTTTTTTGGGGGACAGAATGAAGACATCTTAGAGCAAGTTGAGCCATTTGTGTAGCAACTCTGGAAGGATATTTCCCTTCAAACCGGGAGTCCATTACGCCCTTCAACTTCCTTCTGTTACATAATCGTGGTTTGATCCAGTGAACCAGATTATGTTGCTCAGTTGGACGATTTCTGTCAACTACCCGCAAGCCTGTTAGCATTTCAACCAATACAACGCCAAAACCATACACGTCGCTCTTTACATATAGACGTCCTGTTACATAAGCATTCCAGGCCCCGAGCTGCTCCCACTAAAATCTTAAGCCGTATGCCCCATGGAAGTGACTGAGCAGCGGGTCCCCCTGCACTAGTCAAAGCAATTGGTGTAGAGTGAACCGATTAAATGAATTCAACTGACTTGTAGAAGAAAAGTGTGTTAATATTCACTAGCACATTTGCATTAATTCACACACAGTGTTGTTAAAGGTGCGCCTAGGCTCAAGGCATCGGTCTAGTGCCTGTTGTCATCCTAGGCTCATTGATTTTTACTAGGCCCGTGCCTCGGTTGTGCCTCGTCCTATTTGTTAGGTGCGCCTCATTGTTTTTCTTTTTTAAAAAATTGATTATTCTATTTCTTAAGCCAAAAGGGGTACTTTTGGCAATTTAATAAACTAATAAGAAAGCCTAGCTTATGAGCGAAGGAACTTTTGTTCAAAAGAATAAACAAATAAGAAAGCCCAAGAGTCAAACATGTCAACCGAATATAGAAAGAGTGAGATTGAGACTAACGACGAGGCCCTAGTTGCAGACATGAACAATGAAGCTATGTCAGTTCTTTCTTCTTCTCTCTTCTCCTCTACTTCTCTCTGTTCTCTTCTCTCTCTGTCTTCTTATTTTTTTTTCTTTAATTTTTTTTTCTTGCGTCTTTGTTTTTTCTCCTTTTTCTTCACACATTCTCTCTCTTCATCTATTTCTTTTGTTTTTGGCTCTTTTTTTTTGGGCTCTGTTTTTTTTTTCCTCCTTTTTATGTTAACAGTTTTTTAGGTTTTGTTAATAGATTTATTTCTTTTTTTGCTCTGTTTTTCCATTCAAAAGAACGAATTATGTTTTGCCTTTCAAGAAAACAAATTTTTGCTCTGATTTATGCTTTTTGAATGCTTATGTAGTTGATGGATTTACTTTTTTATATTTGATATTAATTTTTAGAATTTTGATACGACTTATGAGATATGAATGTTTCTATGGTAGTTTAAAATTTCAATTGTGGGCCTCACTTCACTCAGGCGCGCATGCGCTTCGCATTGCGCCTAGGCTCCAAAGCACCTCTAGCGCCTTGAGCCTTTAATAACACTGTTCACACACACACAGTCTTACTTCTAAAAAGGTGGTAGTCCAAGCTACCCTTTTGTATGAATTCATAGACAAGGAGCAGCTTTTCACCCTCCCAACAGTAGCCCAGCAACTTAACAAGGTTAGGATGAGAATGCCTTCCTAGGAAATTCACCTCACACTGCAGAAATAAATGAAAAAACAAATACGAATATTAGAAAACTGTTTATTGATCAACAAACTATTCATTTAGTTGGAAATGCACAAATATAGAAAGTTTAGGCATACATTTTTTTTTTTTTTTGAAAGGCAAAAGGTATAGATTTTAGCTACAGCAGACTTGTAAAATTTAGGCATACATGAAAAGAATAAATAATTAAATTCTAGTCTATGATTCTGAGATTGAATACATGACAAGTACTCCGTATAAAGCTATGAAAGGCAAATTAAAAGCACCCAAGATCAAATAAGTAAAATGACAGACTAAGTACAGTTGAACTACCTTCCACTCTTCAAATCCTTGCATACTACCAGAACTCAACTTCTTGACAGCAATGAACATTCCACTCCTGTTCTTAGATGTCGCCCTCTCATCAAGCCAACCCTTGTAAACTTTTCCGAAACATCCTTCTCCCAACATTGTATCAGCTCCGAAATTTCTAGTTGCGGCTTTCAATTCTGCAAATGTGAAGATTCTCAAATTGTGTGTGGGCAAGATCTGCCCAGTTGGATATAACTCATCCCCACCACTTGCCGCTGAGAATGAATACTCCAGGCCAGCCACCACTTCAGCCATTGTAAGCCGTTCATTTGGATTATTGTGCAAGCATTTGGTGGCAATTTCGGCAAACACCTTCAAACAAGGTGGCGATATTTGCTCCCTCACGCTGGGATCAACTATTCAATCAAGTGTTCCCTCTTTGATGCAATGTTTGGCCCATAGTGCTAGACTATGTTGCTCCTCTTCAAGTCTTACATCAACCGCCGGCCTCCCACAAAGCACTTCAAACAATACCACACCAAAGGCGTACACGTTGGATTTCTTTGTCAGCCTACAAGTGAAGAAATATGCTGGATCAAAGTACCCAAATGTACCTTTAATGGCAGTGCTAATGTGGGTTTGTGACTGGCCTGCATTGTCCATTTTAGACAACCCAAAGTCAGAAATCTTAGCTACCCAATTTTTATCCAACAGTATGTTTGAGCATTTCACGTCGCGGTGTATGCCTCCATGATGGGCGTCCCTACTGGTATGAAGGTAGGCCAATCCACGTGCGGCACCAATGCAGATGATGAGCCGTTGTTCCCAAGAGAGAGGAGAATTGACATCACCCTTTCTTCTAGTTTGGTAGAGATGATCAGCAAGAGTCCCATTGTCCATATATTCATAGACTAGGAGCATCTCCTGGGAGTCTTCATAGTAGCCTATCAAAGAGACGAGATGATAGTGCCGGATTGTCGAAAGGGTCTCAATCTCCATCCAGAACTCAACAGACCCTTGTTTACACTCCGATTTGAACTGCTTTATGGCAACAGTCTTGGTTCCATTATCGATAAGCCCTTTGTACACATTACCAAATCCGCCTTTCCCTATGATGAATTCATCACCAAAGTTATTGGTCGCTAACTGGATCTCTGCAAACGAGAAACGTCTGCACACTCCCTCCTTTGACAGTGTTGATGATGATATGTTCTTTTCTCCAGAGTTTGATCCCCAAGTATTTAATTGGTAAACTATGATATTCAAGAGAGTGAGTATTAGTATCACACCTGTCGTAATTACATTGTGGCTTCCAAAAGCTAAAACCAATTTTCCATGCAGGGTCCATGATGTGGGAGAATGTGCTGTTGGCACGGGGTTGGGACCGGCAAGAATGTTGTTCGGGTTGGCCAACTTAAATATTTCTATACCGTTTAGGATTGGATCAGCATCTGAGTCATGCTGGGGCTGCAAAGCCACAATGAGATTATGCTTGCCCTCGAATTTGTTTCCTTCTATTTTCACCACATAGTCCCTGTATTGTGCAACCCCATACCCACCACTCCACTTCACTACATCTGCATTAGTCTCAGCAATCTGATTGTTTATGAAGATAGAAAACTCCCTTGGGCTGCCGTTCTCAGTGGTCGTGGATTCAAGCTCACAGAAATGGAGCCTAACCAGGTACCTGAATCCCAGATCCACTGGTAATTTCGATGTTAAATTATGCATCTGATCTGCTACTTTGTTTTGACCCATTGACCAAGATGTTCTGTATACTTTCATTGGTGCAGTGTAGGTGGGTATGTTAGCATACTTGATCACAGCCTTTGTGGTTCTGGTAACTGATAATACACCTGATTGTAACAAGTAATTCTTGTCCTCGGACCACACACGGTACATATCCAAATCTTCTTCGACTGACAAAATGGATCTCCCTCCAACATTTAAGAGGTAAACCATCTCTAGTGCAGTGCTGTTATCAATATAGTATCGAAACTTGTTGCCAACGACACGAGCACCCAAATCATCATCGGGAGAGTAATAAAGACCAGTGGGCATGGAGACGACCTCAATTCCATTGATAAAAGCATAAACATCATCATCAGTTGCACTACTTGTAGACGGAGAGAATGTTATGCTAAAAACTTGATTTTGTTCAATGTTGACGCAAAATTCTTTAGCAAAATATTTTACGCCCAGAGCATCAGCAGCAAGGGAAGCGCTGAAGTTGTGAAGAAGGGTGTAAGGACCAGCTTTAACAGTGAAAAGTGCTTTTGATCTATCGAAGCCATGGTATGAAGCTGGAAGAAAGTGCAGGCGAATGAATTTCTGACCCGGTCTTAATTGAAATGTCTAAGTGAATTGAGAATGAGAGATCCTCGCAGTCATGTAGGGAACAAGGTCAACGAAAAGTGATTGGTGGATGGTTTTTGAGCTCATTGATTTGCCTTTGAGTACTTGTGATGAAGTAAATTTAGAATTGATGATATCTCCAATCCATTCCCGGCCATCAAAAGCAAATGAGTTGCCAGTAGAGCCGCAGTTAAGGGCGAAATCATCCAAGGGGCGATAAGGGGAAATAGAGTTACTGCTGACTATAAATCTAAGATGGTAGGAGAGGTAGATGGTGATAATGATTCCAAGTAGAGGAAGCTTCATTTTTATTTTTATTTTTGGGGGATCTGGACAGAAACAAATAGGGTGAGCAAAAACTAACGATTTATTCAAAATATATTGAATAATGAATCATTACCCTGCACTTCAGGGAACTGTGTGTTTGTGTGTAGGATATTTGCTATTTTGAGATAAGCATATACAACAACGTGTGGTACATTATCATCCTTGGGTTATTGATTTCCTAAAATCTTGTGGTTCGTGTATCACTTCGACTAAAATCATAAGAATTGAATAAGAGACGGACAATTTATAAGTACCTTGATTTCCAAGAATATCAGCAATTGTTTTGAACTCTGAAGGTTACAGGAAATTTCATAAGAATAATTATATATAATAATAATATTCTTGGGCTGACTTTTCTACAAAAATCAACCATGAATTCTTGCTCAATGTTGTCAATAATACAAGAATTAACTATAAATGTATGTTCACTGCTGTCATGTAGGCGGCTCCACACAAAAAAGAGCTTGTTGGCTGCTACCTGTGACTAGTGGTTTGAGAAGTAGTGAATCCATAAATATATTGTCAAAGTTACAATTGTCATACTATATATACAAATACAATAGTCAAATATTGCAACCAACGACCTCAGCTTATGCTGATGGCAACCATACGGGGTAGCATGTAAATAGGGTCCACATGAAGGCTGTGCTAAAAACCTTTAAGCTAAGATCTGCTTTTATTAGTAAATTTTTAAAATACGGATGAATGAAGAAGACAGCATTAGAATTGTTCGTTTTTGTTGTTTTCCTCTTCATTAATCAATACAAGCAGATCGTGGTGGATACTGTTCTCTGAGTAAAAGCAAACATATTGATTAATGAAGTTGTAGCTCAGCCTCTTCTAAGAGTCTGATACCGTTAGGTCACTGACCTGTTAATCATAACCTGAATTAATTAATTTATTCACGGGATAAAATCTCTGTTTAATAATTGGATTCATAATAGAAGCAAGAAAAAGACTTATTTTAATTAAATTGGTAATGTGACAGAATATAAATAGATTATATCGACGTGGTCTCTTTTCTTCTCTCAATTTACCTTCTTCTTCTTCTTCTTCTTTTTTTTTTTTTAATTTTTATTATTATTATTATTATTATTATTTTTTAATCCCACCCAATCTAAGGAGAGAAGAGATTAATGGAAGAGAGAGAGAAGAGAGAGGAAAAGAGAGAGAGAGAGAAGAGAGACGGTTTAGAAAGAGAGGATAGAGAGGAAAAAATAAAATAAAATCTTCCTTGCATAGTTGCAACTGAGGGCATTTTAGAATTTTTATAAAAATTTGATCAAAATTGGCTATCAGAGACAATTTGTTCCAACTATTGAAAATATAGGAATTTATACAAACGTAATAAATAGTACGAGGGCTTCTTGTACTTTATCTTCTTCTTCTTCTTTATTTATTTATTTTTTGTCTTAGATTGATTGTATATGCTTAGACTGATTTCTTCATTCATCTCGTGGTATATGCTTAGATTGATTTCTTCATTCTTAGATAATAGTGTGAATATACTGATTTATTACTGAATGGAGTTTGACTATGTTGATGAAGTGTTTTTTTTTTTTTTTTCAACTATCAATTTATTCCATTCTCTTAATGTTACATTTGATATGCAGGAATAAAATGGAATGAAATGAAATGGAAGTGAGAATGACAATGGAATGAAAGTGGAATTGAAATTTCATTCTCATTCTATCGTTTAATTGCAAATATGAGATATTTAGGAATTGAATGATAATAATTATTATAGTGTTTGGTTAGATCAATTTAAAATTTAGAATGGAATGAATTTCAAATTGAATTTTTCAAAATACCCCTCTTAGTGATAGATAAGCTAAATTCACAAAATAACATTCTTCTATAATTTTTTTAATAAGAAATGACGGCGACGATGGTGGTGGAGGTAGAAAGTGGTAGTGTTGTAGGTGGTGGTGTTTGAAGGTAGCGGTGGTGGAGAGCGGCAGTGATGGTGGCAAAAGGCAGCAGTAGTGTTGGTGAAAGGTGGTGGCAATGGTGGAAGTAGTGGTGGTAGTATTAGAAGGCGTTAGTGTTCTAGGTGATGACGGTGGAGGCAATGGCGGTGGCAGTGGTGTGGCGATGGTGGAAGGCGGCAGTGGTGTGGGTGGTGGTGGTGGAAGGTGGTGGTAGTGGTGGAAGGTGGCGGCAGTGGTGTGGGTGGTGGTGGTGGAAGGTGGTGTTAGCAGTGATGGTTGTGGCAGTGATAGTGGTTTTTGTGGTGGAAGGTGACAGTGATGGTTGTGGTAGTTGTAATACCCCTAATTTTGAAAGGATAGTTCTGGAATTTATTTAAATTGTTTAATTTATTTGATGTACTTGTTGGTTTATTTAATTGTTATTTAATTGAATTTTTGTTTTACTTTATTTGTTTAATGGATTATTTGTTTTATTTTAAATTGATTGTTTTTTTAGTTAATATTTATTTGAATTAAGTTAAATGTTTTATTTAGTAAATAAGGTTTTTATCAGTTTTGGAAGCCACGTATTTAGCCGACTTGTTTTTCTGTCTTGTATTAGGATTAGGGTTTAACTGCACCTAGGTTTAGTTGGCCTATATATATAACTGTATAAGGCTGCCAAGGGTTTAGAACCCTAACCATACGTATTACAGACTAAAGAATCAGGGGAGTTCGGGGCAGAGGAGATTTACTGTAGTTCGCCGGAGAAAGTAATTCGCCGGAAAACTTAGAAGAAAGACGTTGAGATTTTTGAACCGAATCTCACAGGCAAGTTCTAATACTAACTCTATCTCTTTGGCCTGTGTTCTTTGCATCCCTAATTCAATTCCAGGATGAAATAAATTTAATTTAATTTGTTTTTACTTGGTTTGCACGGTTATTTGGTTTTAAAACAGTATGTGTTTTCTGTATCTGCAACTTGTTCGTTTTTAAACGGTTTTGCATAATTCTTGTTCTAATAGTAATTGATTAATGTTTAATGAGTTTAAATAGTTCTGGAGGACTTTTCTTTGCATCATTAACACAATCCCAGGAGGAAGTAAATAGTTAAACTAATTTTTGGTTGCATAGAAATTGTTCAAAATCGTGTGTGTTAGCGATTGGGTTTTTAGCATGTTTTTAATCTGTTTGGAAAAATTCTTGTTCCAATTAGTTTTGATTAATGATCAATGAATTCAATTAATTTTGGAACACCCTTGGACTTAGTTTATTCAGTAATAAACTTGGGTTGAAGGAACAAAGTTGCCGGATACTGCCGGAAGTAGAGAAAAAGACACACAGGGGAATAACCTGTTCTAATTTGAGTAGAGCAGGCTCAACAAAAAGGGTGGAGCAGGCTCTACCTTAGGTAGAGCCGGCTCTTTGGGCTTTAGAGGCGGTTCCGCCTTGTGAAGAGCCAGCTCTACTAAATGGTGGAGGCGGCTCCACCTTATGTGGAACCGGCTCCTTCAACGGTTTTCAGTTTTTCGCCTTTTCAATGATGGTTTTGGTTACGGGTTTCAGAATTTGGTGTTTCCAGATGATATTAGGAGCTATGCAGGGATGTTTCAATAGCATCTAAGTCCTATTAAAAATTCTGAGGGTGTGATAATACATAATAAATTACAAAGAAATCGGTAGATTTAAACCGTTATAGTTTCAAGTGAACTTGTGGACTGTTTTTGGAGGCAGAGGATTTTAAGTGCATAACCCCATGAGTTGGAATTTATCTGGGAATGGAAATATTGTTTAATCATGTTTCTGTAATTTAAATTAAGCATATTAGATTATAGAATGATTATATATCTATAAGTGACAGTAAGACACTTTTAAGGAAGTTTACATGGTTGAAATTTTGCAAACGATTCAAGTTGATTAATTTTAAATTAGCAATTGAAATATGAGTTTGACTTGAAAGTCATATAACAGTGGTATGAGATTAAGCCTGTTAACTAATATAAATTCAGTTAATGTTTAATAAGAAAATAGTTGATATTTACCAAGAACTGTTTATATCAACTTATGGAATGTTGTGGAGTAATTACAAGTAAGCATGTATATACTGTTATTGTTACAATTATGCTTATTGTGAGTTACAGAATGATTATATTGATTTCTATGCGTTTTAAATTGTAGAGAATTATATACTAGATGTTTTGAACAAGCATGCTATTTATACAATCTTGAAATGCTTATGTTGGATATGTTGATATTTACTGTAATTTATATTGTCAACACTGGATGGATGGATGGTATGCACCGGTATGGGACGGTGACATACTAAGGGGATTAGCTCAAAGATGCTAAGTCTTACCTACTCTGGATTAAGGGATGGATTAATTACAAAAGTTTAGTCCTACCTGTATTTTGTGTCAGATCACTAAATAGTTGAGTGACACTTTTGGTTTGGAACGGATTTTAAATATATTTTTATGGTGCCACGATATGAGCCTGAGTCTCAGAGTTGTTAGCTAGGGAGCGTATATGCATTGGGATGCATAGCTGGCTATGATGGTTAGATGTGTACCCTACTAGGTCTAGGTAGTCATGCCCACCTCAGGTGCGTTTTGCATGATGCCTACTAGTCAGGTTGAGACGGGCCTGTAGTCCAGTGAGAGTCCTGTAGTGTGATTATATATATATGTATCTACGGACTATTTAGTTATTGTTGGATTGGTCAGGATGTACATGCGTATCGGGTCTCTGTTTGGGTAATAGTAGTATAGAACTTGCTAGTGGGCCTGACCCACTTATCATTTTGCAGGTATTGGACGTTTGAGGTCTTAGGGCTTGTTTGGGCTGAGCAGAGATGACCTTCCATTCTACCGACGACGTAAGACTTCTTTCCAGATATTAGATTTGGGTTTTTATCTTTAGTTATTTACTTTCGTTCGGTTTGGGTTTTTTTCATAGGGGTCCACTAGAGATGGATTCCCGAGTTGTAAACTTATGGAGTTTGGATTGTCAGAGTTTAAATATTTATATTTGAGGATTTTTAATTTAGTATTCCTTCAGCTTATCATTATTATTCTTAAATTCATTTTGTATTATGTGTTCAGTTAAATATTAATTGTTTGATATCCCTCGGATCTGTGCTCGGACTTGATCACTCGTGGCTCTAGAATCGAGGGGTATCACAGTAGTGACGGTGGTTGTTGTGGTGGAAGGCAGCAGTGGTGGCGATGGCAATGATGGTGGTAGCTGCGATGGAAGGTGGCAGTGGTGTAGGTGTAGGTGGTGGTGGTGGAAGTGGTGGCAGCAATGATGTTGGTGGAAGGCAATGGAGGTGGTGATGGTGGAAGGTAGTAGTGGTGGAAGTCGGTGGTGGTGGCGACGACGGTGGCGGAGGCGGAGGCAGTGGTGGAAGGCAGTGGAGGCATTGGCGGTGTGGTGGTTGTAGGCGGCAAAAATGGCGGCGATGGTAGTGACGGTGGTGGTAGGCGATGGTAGTGAAAGGTGGAGATGGATAAGCTGGAAGGTGGTGGTGGTAGTGGTGAAAGGTAGTGGTGGTAGTGGTTATTGGACTTAGAATATGAGGGTTTTTTCGAAATTTGATTTTTTAAAAAAAATACTTGGGAACGGAATGGTTATTCCATAGGTTTAGTTGTGGATCCCAAGAATGAACTTTCTTTCCAATGAAATGGTTATTCCCACTTTAAATTGCGTACCAAACAAACAAATTGTTAAAATAAGTATTCCATTACATTTATGCACACCAAACATAGCATAAAAGTTACGGCACTACTTAGTCCCTGTTTGGCGTGCATTTTGTTTCTGTTTTTTTTTTTTGGGCTGCTATAGTGTCGATTTTGGTAACAAAAATATGTTTGGTGTGGCCTTATTTTAATTTACACAGTGCTAAAACACTTCGTGAACAGTGGCCCAAAACTAAAACACCAAAAAGTTATTTTTTTTATTTTTTTTATTTTGCCAACTATTAATGGCCCAAAATCATAACAATAGCGCAACACAGGGTCTAAGTTTCCACTTCAAAACATCGTTTCCAAACGTGCTGATTTTTTTCCAAAACACTCCTAAAGTAAAAACACTATTTTTGTTTTAGCTAAAAACAAAACGCCTAAAACAAAGTGCATGCCAAATGGGTCATTAGTATTGGGAATTTAGCATGGAGTCTTTGAGAAATGAGTAATTTTCAGTCTCTAATTTGTTTTTAATTTGTTTCTCTTTGTTTATCTATTGATCATGAGGTGTTTCTACTAAAAATTAATCCTTCTATGGAGTCAAACCACACTTCCTTGTTGCCTTCTACTAGGATTATGGGTCAATTTTAAAAATGAGTTTTGATGTACTCATGTTCTATTTCCCTTGTGTGTCAAATTTAATTCTAGCTGGATTTCTTGTTGATAAAAGCATAAACAGACAATAACTACTTCCAAGCAATGAGTCTGATGTTTGTTAAAAATTTATTTTCTATGGAGAATATTATTGTGATTCAATTTGTACTTGTTTGTCACCGTGTGCACATAACATTCCTATACTATAAGAATAAATATACTATACACTATTTGGCATTTTCGGGGCAAAACGGACATTAAAGCATTACCTTATGTCAAAAACCTATAAAAAGTCATTCGAGGGGTTTTTCACATAATATTAAAAGAATAAGTGGGTTATTAGCACACTTTTTAAAATATTGGTGACAGTACTACGCGAGTATACATTACGGGTGTTTTCTGTACTTTACCTATATATACTCCATCTGTTCCATTTTACTTGTCCACTTTTGGTGTTTGAACTTTATAAGGGGACATACAATTAATGCATTGTCCTTTACAAGATTACCAAATTGTCCTTTCAAATTTAAATAAATATATTATCAAGTTGTGAGACTTTTCAAAATTTAAGGGGTAATATTAGAAAGTTTGATTTATTTTGTTTGTCTTGACTTTGCAATCTAACAACTATTTTGGATAGTCAAAAATAAATAAATGGATGACTAATATGAGACACGGGAAGTATATATTACATATTAGTTTTAGAATCAAAATTATAATTATAAAACTTTACTTCTATTTAATAGGAATATAAATGAAAATTTGAGTAGTGAGTAGTTTAAAGAATTTAAATGAAAATTTTTTCAAAAGTAGGACTTGTTGGTTTATAAAAAGTTATAAGACTTTTGTTTTTTTTGTTTTTATAAAAATTATTCGACTTAATGGTAATTTTCGCTTACTTCCATTTGGTAAGAATATAAGGACATTCTTAGTTTGTAACTCTGAAAACAGTTATCAGAAACTCAGAAAAAAAAGAACAGTTTTCAAAGAATTATAAAAGACTGTTCTCTGAAAACAAGTCTTTTTATAACTGAGTTTTTGGAAAACAGTTTTTGGAAAACTGAACCAAACAGAGTTTTTTTATACAGTTTTTCGAGAATAGAAAACTGTTTACATAGTTACAAACCAAAAAGCCCTAAGCAACCTTTCCTTGGCTTGGGATATTCTCATAATTGAAGTCAAGTCAAGTCAACCATGTGTGATACACATTGGTCAATTACGTGAAAAAGCAATCTTTCTCTAATTACTTTTCTTGAAATAAAGCATCTTTATTAATTGTTTGTCTTTTGAGTGGGTCATCCACCCTTTTTCACATTTTTTTTTTTTCTTGCTTGCTTTATTTCCTGAGCTGTGTATGGATAATATCAAATTGAAAGTGGCTTAAGTAGTGTTTGGGGGAGCTTCCTAGCACTAAAAGTCCTTTGTTTGAAAGGAATTTTATCAAAATGAATTTAGTCATAAAAAGATGTTTGGTGAATGAATTCTTAAAATTTCTTGAGATAATTAGAATAGTTTTCAATTGCTAACATTACCCATAACCTATATATGTTCCCTGTATTTAAGTAAACTAATTCAATTAAAATATAATAAAAATAGGTGTATGTAATTGAATGGCAACAGTTGACTGCATAGTGGGTTTCATATCTGTGTGTGTGTGTGTATATATACATATATCATTCCTTAGTATAAATCAAAATTAGAAAGCATTTCTCCCTTTCAGAAGGGCATGCGACCAAATTCACTTAGCATAGAAGACGTCTATACCAGTTGAAGAAAAAGCAGTTTCATAAATCGTATAAGGTGGACCTCTAATAAAATAATCCAAATTGAGAATCTAAATGATAAATGGCTAAGTCTGTAAAACAAGGATATGAAATAGAATCCTACGTTGATGATACCGGAAGAATGATGATGACCAACCTCTGTTCTGCATGAACTAACTCTATACTTGCTACTGACGAGAACCTGAAAAGATAACAACAAAGGTGTCTCAAAGCCCACGAACAAGTCATTTCTACTATATCCCAAACAGAGACCCAATAAATGATACATCCTAGTCCGACGCATGCAATAGCTTCTTAGTCGATATATGATATATGTAAATATACACACTAAAGACTTTCACTAGACTATAGCGTAAACGCAACCTGATAGTAGGTATCCCATGCAAATTGCACACAAGGTGGTCATGAGTCCCTCTTCTATCAAGGTATACACATCTCCTATATCAAGCTACCCATCTCAACTGGCAGTATATGCCTTAGTTCTAACCATTGATCCTGAGATCCCAAGTTCGTATCATGGTGCACAATAATTATATACATATAGCCATATCCTAACAATGGCATAACAAAAATAATATAAATAGCAACATAGCTATATCCTGACAATGTCACATTCAAAGGTCATAACCATATCCTGACAATGGTATGACAATTAATGAGTCCAAACTTATTAGTTAACTCATTTACAATATAAAACATACAATAATATCCTGACAATGGCGTAAAGGAAACCATATCCTGACAATGATCCCAACAATCAACAGGTATAGATCATATATAAGATCAAAGCAAGTATCCATTAATATGATTTTAATCATGTTATCATCTATTGCAATTGTTATAACGATATATGCAATTCTAAACATCATATGAATAACTTATAAGTCAAGTAAAGTCCATTATACCTCATCTCTTAGCATTTTATTGTATATTATGTATTATAGGATTTTATCAAGTCCGTAACAGTCATTTAAATTAACTAAAATGAACCACAATAGCCTTCGGACCCACAAAATAAAATAAAATAAAACAAGCTCAACTAAGTTGACTTCTTCCAGAAGGAGCCGGCTCTTTCTCAACTGAGCCGGTTTTTTCACAATGGAGCCGGCTCTTTCACAATGTGTCACACCCCCGAATTGCCGTGTACGGGTTGGCCAGGTCCACACTTAAAGACCAGGGATATAAAAAATAATCAGTTAAAAAATGAACACGGAATACAAGAGGAATATAATAAAATAAATAATAATATTAAAAGAAAAACTAAGTAATAAATAATCATTCTTTGATACCAGTACTCCAAATAAATCCAATTAACTATAAACCTCCAAAGTACAACTTAGGAATCCGTATATCAAGGACCCTTAATAAAAATCCCATAACTAAAATAATAAATAACTACTAAGTTTGAGAAATAATAGAAATCTGAGATAATGTCCTACATCAATGTTACGGAAGAGTGAAGATAAACGATCTCTGGTCCGCATAAACAGCTCTAAGACTGGTGTTGCCAAGGACCTGAAAAATAAATAGTGGATTAGACCCATAAACAAGTTCCCTCTACTATGACCCGATTAGAGAACCGACAATCAATACATCCATAACTAAACTCATGCACTATCTATATAGTCGATACATACATATATACACACTAAGACTCTCACTGAACAACAGGGCAGTCTCAACCAGGTAGTGGGTATCTAATGGAAAAATTGAATATAAGGTGGTTCAGAGTTCCCTTCTATCAGGGTACACACATCTCCTATATCCAGCTATCCATCTAAACCGGCAATATATGTCTCAGTCTTGACTACTGATCCCGAGACCTCAAGCTCGTATCATGGCTTATATATAGATACACACACACACACACACGCATATCATCAATAAATAAAGTCATATCTAAGAATGGCATAAGTAGAGTGTCTTG